TAATACTGTACAAATGTGAGCACAATCGTATTGTTCATGGTTATTTAACCTTTCCTGAGATGGAAAACGAAGTAGACATGCTTCACAAATGTACATGATGTGACCGTCTTTTGAAATTTGTTTACTAACTAACCGCGATAAATTTTTTATATAGCAATAATGATTTTTTGTATCCTTGGAAAAAAATAATAAATTGATATGTCTATCTTTACGACACTTTGTTAAAAATAATGGACCTACTATAGAATTACATCGTTTTTCTTTATTATATTCTAACCCAAAAACATTAATACTAATATCATTTAATTTCTCTACTTTTGCTATGTCAGAAATTTTAACCGGAAAGGAAATACCATCAAATTTAAGTTTATTTGCATGTTTAACGTACGATGATACCCGATCGGTGTGTTTGTTTACAGGATATAACGCCGAGAGTAACGCCCATTTAAAACAAAAATAATCCTTGTTTTTTACATTTATAACAGCCTTTTTTAATTTTATGTCACGAGGAAGATCTATGTATGAAGTACCGCGTAGGGGGTTAAATTTATTAACATTCATGTCTATAGATTTTATGTTTTTTAGACTCCATCCACTATCTTTTTTTTCGAAAGCACTAATTTTAGTAGTAATTGTATCATTTAAAGATGAAAGAAAAATATTTAAGTCATCTCCTTGACAAATAATATAGTTAAGCGTTTGAAAATCGAACGTATCATGAATATCTTTAGTTTGTTGAACAAAATCAGCATGCAATATGAAGTTTACCTTAAAAATTATGTGTTGATGAATACACTCTTGTAATAAAAATAAAATATCATCTTTAATAGAATTTAAAAATAGTTCAGGAGTTTCAAAATTTACCCATGTCGAACGATCTACTCTACTCTTGATTTTATAAGTTAAAATCCTATTTCCAAAAGCAGATTCAATAACACTAACGTTTGATAAAGAATTATGTGAATTTAAAAGATTATTTTTATGAACATTACTTTTAAAATGATTAGCTAAATACCGTTTCTTGATAAATATATGGCACGTTGGACATTCCACTTGATCATCGTTACTGATACTGTTCCCTGCAGAGGTATGCGCTTCTGCTTCCGTTGTTGGTTTTTTGATGATCTTGGATTCTTTGCTGCACGTTCGCTTCGTTCCTCTTCCAAGTTGTAGTGGTTGACTGCTAAAATGTTTAAATTTATTAAAAACTGTATAAGACAATATGTAAATTATGATCGAAATGAATGTTTATTTTACATACTTAAACTGTGTTTCAACCATCGCACAGTGATGATACAACTCATCATCGTATGACGAATCGAACAGTTGACCCCTCTCCATTTCTTCACAAACTTTAGACAACTCCTGATTTAATTCGCTATTGAATAGTTCCGTATTCTCTTCCATGATTGTGGAGAAAAAAGGGTCAAAAAAAAAAGGAAAAAATGATCAATCGATTGCGATTTTCTTTTTCCACCATCGCATGTGTTATTATTAATGACGAGGTTATCACTCTCTTCTTGAGGGGAGAGTGGCGAGTAGTAATACTGTTTATAGGTATCTTCATCGAAGCTCAATGATTTCTGCAACAACACAGTTATCATGTTAATATCAATTTGTTAACACTTAATCATAAAAGTTAAAAAAGTTAAAGTTACAGCCTATTAAAGTCCACTGCTGAACATAGGCCTCCTTTCATTTCTGAGAGGGTTTTAGAGCAAGGAAATGTCCGCCGCGCTCCCTCAATGTGTGTTGGCGAACTTCACATGCCTTCGAAATTTTCTCAGACATGCAGGTTTCCTCACGATGTTTTCCTTCACCACCAAGCACGTGGTAATAAGCACTTAAAATTGCTATTAACAATTTAATTGGTGCTGGCGGGGATCGAACCCGGGTCGCGTACTGTGAAATTTACAGCTAGCGCTAACCATCTGAGTTACCACGGCTTAATCATATACATACACAATATTTAAATAAAATAATACACACACATGAAAATAACAGAAAAAAAGTAATTTAGTCAATAGAATAAACACTTACATCCATAGCCTTTGGTGTATTGAAGTAACACAAATGTACTATTGATAGATCCACTGTAGCCAAACGACCGTACACTAACTCGATGACTGCGTTTGTTGGTCTTATATACCACCAGTACGTAAAAATTCTAATCTAAAGTATTTCCGTAATGAGTTGATAATTACTTTATGCGTCAACCAGTTTATCTCACATTTCCGTTGCCTATCTCAACATTTCTTCGTATTGTGTTTTGTTTGGTGATCAATGACTCAAGTACGATTTGTATAACACAAAAATGCAATTTAATATTTAGAAACATATCAGTTTATCTCACATTTCCGTTGCCTATCTCAACATTTCTTCGTATTGTGTTTTGTTTGGTGATCAATGACTCAAGTACGATTTGTATATCACAAAAATGCAATTTAATATGTAGAAATCACTATAATTGACCATTCCTATGTTATTCATTGAGTAGCTAGGTACTGTAATAATCTACTAATAGCAGTAATATCATGGATACACTAGATGTACAACAACATCTGAAAAAGATTCACCCCAGTCTAGAAAATAATGTTTATGCAGCTAATAGACTGCCTATGTAAACCCACGTACCAACGTATATAATATGTAATTTGGATACAGATGATAAACCAGGGTCACATTGGGTAGCTTTATATATCGATACGAATAACGTCGGTCAATATTTTGATTCATATGGACGATCACCTGTACGATATCATCTAGAGTTTTTAAAAAGGAATTGTAAAAGATGGAACTGGAATGTTGATAGGATTCAGAATGAGTGGACTTCAGTTTGTGGCGAATATTGCTTAATGTATTTACTATATAAGTTTCAAGGATGTTCAATACATAGTTTTACGAGTATATTTACAAGGAACACATTGTACAACGATATTTTAGTGGATGAGATGTTTCGCTCCTATTTTATAGATAATAATTAATAAGATTTTGTATTTTATAAATAAAAATTGTAACAAAATTATGTAATGTGTTTTATTGATGATTCAGATTAGCGTTGTATAAACAAAGAATTATAATAAACAATAGCACTGATATAGTCGACGCACACGCTGCAATGAAGGTGATTAAGGAACAATAGAACAATAGAAATAGGAACAACAATGGGACGCTAATGACGGTGGAGGCCCTTACCGGATATCAATTAGATATTAGCTAATTGATCTACACATCTCCGGAACCGTGCATTCTACACAAAAATGGACCGCGGATTCGTGATCAGAGCATGCCAAAACCTTTTTTTTTTTTTTTTTTTTTTTTTTATAGGATCGGGCGTCGACGAACGTCGTTGAACCACGTCTGACTCAGGTGGTCTAGAAGTGGTACAACTACACTACTCCAGTATTAGGATGTATGTAGAGTGTAACTTTATTAACCACAGTAGAATTGTCTCTTATATCGTGGACGTTTCATATACTTACAGACACAGAACAATTACATATTTGTACGCTTTATAAGAGCAGTGGTAGCGCTCGGCTAGCACTCGCTGTAATTTTAACAATCCCCGCCGACACCAATGAAATTGTTAATTGGAATTTTAACTGCTGATTTACCACGTGTTCGGCGGTGCATGTCTGAGGAATAAGAAAAAAAATTAGAAGACATGTGAAGTTCGCCAACACGCTCTAAGGCAGCGCGGCGGTCATTTCCTTGACCTAAAATCCCTTCAGAAATGAGGGGAGGCCGAATTGACCCCTCATTGACGTCAAAATTCCAGTCTAAGGGCCTGTGCTCACAGACCACACGGCATGGCATGGCACGGCGTGTCAAAGGATTTTGTTCGTGGAAAAAAGATTTTCGACCTTATTTTAATTAACTTAGCACTGACATTCCTTTATTTCAACACAAATAGATTGAAACGTCTAGCGTGACACCGCGGGATGCTGCTGCACGTCAAGGCATTCAATGGGATGTCTCGGCATGCCGCTGCATCACGTGAAACGCATTAGTTATTTGTTGTTAAAGGAATGTGAGTGCTAATTAATTGAAATAAGGTTGAACTTTTAAACAACACAGTGCTAAACTGAGTAAGCGCCCGAACGCGGCTTCTTTTCTTGCAATGCGGGTTACCACAGGATACTTTAGCATGCCGCGGGTTGCCACAGGATCCTTCGGCATGCCGCGAGATGACACAGGATCGTTCGGCATGCCGCGAGATGACACAGGATCCGTCGGCATGCCGAGGTGTGCCTTGCCACGCCGTGCGAAGCCATGCCGTCTATGAGAGCAGGCCCTAAACAGATACCAAGTCAAGACAAAGATACTTTTGACACAAGTAGAGTACTCACTATTTGTGAAGTAGCGACAGTAGGGTTGCCACCCTTACTATAATATATAGTATCGTACTATATTTCAGTCAATGGTACTTTATATTAGGCGTAGAAATATAATATAGTACGAAAAATACTATATTTTTATCCCTAATTGAACTGTCGCCCTTTTTTATATTAACTGTGATTGGAAGTCTGGAACAAGTAAGTTTTACGGAAACACTTTTTTCCATAGATTAATGATAGGTCATTGCGCGCGCGAAGACCTATCTATCATTAATCTAAGCTTTTTTTCCGTCATAAATGTAATGGCGGCTTCTCACTGCGTGTGTTATCACACGCCGCGCCGCACCAGCACGCGCCGCGCGCAGTGTGAAGGGCTTGGCGCGGGCAGGCGTGGCGCGGCTCGCGCTATCAGGCGGCTTCTCACTGCGTGTGTTATCACACGCCGCCCGCGCCCGCACGCGCCGCGTGCAGTGTGAAGGACTTGGCGCGGGCAGGCGTGGCGCGGCGCGCGCTATCCGTTTTAAGTCGGTAACTTCAAAGGCGCGGCGCGGGCTCGCGCGTCGGTGCGCGGGCGCGCGCGGCTCGGCGTGTGCTTACAAGATTGAACTCGTTCATTTCATCGTAATTCGTTCGACGTTGAGGTACTTTTATGTGTGTATAGATATGGAGTGGTCTAATGAGACGATTGCTGAATTTTTAATTTTGTACGAAAGCGAACCCTCTCTGTGGAATTCGAAAAGTACAGAGCATAAAAACAAAAACGACCAGCACGATGCCTGGCTACGAATCCAAATGAATTTAAAAAATGGTACCATGCAGTTAAAAGAAATTAAGAAAAAAAAGGATACTTTAATGGGAACCTATAGAAAATTAAGGAGCAAAGTTTCCCAATCAGTAAAGTCCGGCAGCGGTGCTGATGAAATTTATAAGCCTGACTGGCCATTTTATAGTGTGATGGCCCAATTTTTGGATGATGTGTATTATCCCAGAAAAACAAAGAATTCTGAGGTAAGTAAGTACTTTATTTACTTTAAGTTATTTAGTTTTAAAATTACAAGTTACATCAATTTACAGTAAATCTCGGTTTAATTGTTAACATAGGTATTTAATATGATTAGTTATTCTTTTGATTCTTATTCTGATATCAGAACAAAAACTAATCACATAGATATGCCCATGAGTGCATGAATGGGATATGTTACCGGCAATCTGTTTAATTCGGTCAATTGTACAAATATCCATAATATTTACATGTCTGATCGTAATATTTAGATTTACAAGCGGTGTAAATTGTAATCTTATTCAAGGGTATACACAGATTTACGGTAACATACGTAATTGTATATGTTGTTACAAAAAGGGTATACAATACAAGTTGTAAGGGGACATCATTCTGTAATGAAAAAAAATCGACTTTCTATACAAATTGCTGACGCAGCTTTCTGACTTAGTATGGAAAGTAAAAAAAACTGCCTTACTATAATTTCTACATCATTTTTTTCTAGATAACTTTAATAATTATTTTGCCATGCAACGGCACCGTTCGTTATAAAATATTCTGCAAATTGGTCTCTTATATCCTTGGCGGAAAGAAGTGTTCTTCTTGGACGATTTTGCAGAGGCAGTAAGGAAGTAACTCCGCTTTGGTCGTCGCGCCAAGAACCGGGCTGAATCTCGCCATCTTTCTCAGTATCAAAGGATCCAATAGGGCTATATATAAGTCTAGACCTTTTAAACCGTCTTAAAAAGTTGTGCAGCAATGCACAGGTCATCACAATGTTGGTTACCGTATCTGGTTGTAAAAGCATAGGTTTTCTTAGTACTCTAAACACCGCAGACATAATGCCAAAGACATTTTCAACAATCCTTCGGGCTCGTGAAAGGCAGTAATTAAACACGCGCTCTTTTGATCCCTTATTATGAGTTCCAGCGTAAGGTTTCATCATATTTTCTGTTAGAGAAAATGCACTGTCTGCAACAAATACGTAAGGTAGTGGTATTTCTTTCAGCGGTAAGCACTCCGGCGGTGGAAAATCCAATTCTTTTCCACAAATTTGTTTGTATAAGTCAGTGTTTCTGTATACACCACCGTCGCTTATTCGTCCCTGGCACCCGCAATCCACAAAAATAAAATTGTAATCCGCGTCGACTAAAGCCATTAATACAATACTGAAAGTTTTGTGATAGTTGATGAATTCAGACCCACTATGTATAGGACTTTGTATTAACACATGTTTCCCGTCAATAGCTCCTAAGCAGTGAGGGAAATTCCAAGTTTTGCAGAATCCTTTCTCTATCATTAACCAGCCAGATGATGTCCGTGGCAGCTAAAACAAATAAAAAAAGTTATAAATTATCATGAACGTTTTTTATTTTTAGGTCACTGACGACATGGAAGAAATAGAAGAAGATAACAGTGAAATAAACGCCTCTGAAGATAGTAAACAGGATGATGAAGAAGTAGTCCAATTTAAAAGACCAAAAACTCTTTCTAAACGTGCCAAAAATATTGATATAAAAAAAAATGAATGAAGCATATGATTATTTAAAACAAGTATCCCAAAAACACCAAACTCCGCAGGATGAATGTTCGTTATACACACAATTATTATGCAAAAAATTGAGAGGCTTGCAAGAAAATACACGTGAAATTGCGATGTTGGAAATTGATCGATTGATTTTCAATCTAAAGCAAAAAGAATTAATGGCAAACCCACATGCACAAGTACTAATCAATCAACCACAGCCTATGAATTTTGGATATACCGGCAATCTCCTTTATCGATATCCTCTTCAGCAAGTACAAAGTTACAATTTAACTCCTTCACAGCCATCAACATCCTACCATCCATCACCTTCTTCACAGCCATCCCCATCCTATTATCCATATACTTTTCCACAGCCATCCCAAAATTATCGTCCATCAACTTCTTCACAGCCATCCCCATCCTACCATCCATATCCTTTTCCACAGCGATCCCCAAATTATCGTCCATCAACTTCTTCACAGCCATCCCCGTCCTACCATCCATCACCTTCTCCAGAGTTACTCCCAAATACTTTCTCCCCACTGCCATCTCCGAATTCTCCTTCTCCGCAGCTGTTACAAGACGAAACATTTTAGCTACGAAAAGTTTTTTGATGAACAGGAGAGTGGTAATTTTCATTAGGTTGATGATGTCAATTTCAATTTTTTAAGATTTGAAAAAATAAATACTTAATTCTACTACTTACTTTTATTTCTTGTGATAGTTCTTTTATTAATGCTTTACAAACGTCCTTGACACAACTTGAAACTGTTTGGATAGATACTTTGAAAAGATATGAAAGACTTGTGTAACTATCTCCGGTTGCTAAAAATCTAAGAGCAATTGCAAATCGTTCTTGTACTGGAATACATTTTCTCAAGTGGGTATCTTGTTTTGCAATTTCAGAGCCTATTTTATTCATAAGATATTCGTAATCTTCTGGTGAGATTCTACAGAAATTTCCAAATTTTTTACTCGGCTCTTTAACAAAATCGGATAGCATATCTGATCCATTGTATCTGAAATAAAAATACAATAATTTGTACCGAATTTTCCAGCAGCAAACAGGTATCAAAAGTATCGATACTTAACATCAAATATATTGATAGAATGCTTAATGATTACGTATGTAATTATCCTAAAATATAAACAATATTTACCTTGACCGGCTCTTATTGAACGATGTCATCCACCAGCGCCTTTTCTTCTTCTTAATTTTATTAAGTAAGTGATATCCAGAAAATAAGACAAAAGCGGCTGAAGCAACAGTGATGTCTTCTTTTTCAGTTGCATTGCTCCATGGCTGGAGGTGGCAATTCGACTCACACGACATTTCAGGTGCGTTGCGCTAAACAGACTAACTCAGTGGCTTGGAGTTTAGGCAAGCACGCGCCACGCCGCGCCAGTTAAAACGGGTGGCGCGGGCTCGCGCGTGGCGCGTGCTTGCGCGTACAAATCAACACGGGCGGCGCGGCGCGTGATAACTGATAACACACGCAGTGAGAAGCGGGTGGCGTGATGGCCCCTCTTCACGTTGGCCAACACAGTGGCGAATGTGTTGGCAGAGTTATTGGCCAAGAAATTGTGATCGCGTCCACACGTTGGAAGGTCGTTCAGTTTGCTTTAGTTTAGGCCAATGTGCGGACGAATTTATTAAAATGATTATTGATGCGCTAACGGCTGCTGCGATTTATTTATTCACAGAATACCACTATTTCTTTATTTAATTTTCACTATATTTAATATTTTTAATATAAATTTTTAATATTTCTTTATTATACACTAACGTTATACAGATAAGTAAACTATATAAACATTAACACACCTAGGCATAGGTATAATTAACTAAGGCCTGGAAAATATTCGAAGCCTGTCTATGAAACTGTTGTAAAATTGTTTTAAAAGGGTTATTATATAATTATAGAATATATTTATTTATTTACACTTTCATGCACTAAGTAGTACTACTTAGCGATATGGCGAACTTAATAATAATAATAAATAATTTATTTCGTCAAACATTAAAGTTACATTATACGATCAGTGATCGAGGTCACCTAGTAAGCAAAATAATGCCTGTAACAGGTGACTTCGCTCTTCCATAGCTAAAAATTACAGTATTATTGACGAAATAAAGTACCCAACTAATAGGGAATAATAAAGACAGTAAAAACATGATTTTAGTATCCTACTTTTTAATATATATTATAGATTTTAAGATATTCAATAAATCAATTAATAGGTACATCAATGAATTAATTAATACATCAATCACTACAACGTGAATGTGTATAAGATAAGGGTGATCAAAAAGAAATGGAAAAAATAAATTTTATTTCTTGACGGCTCCGTGGCGTAGTGGCTTAGCAATGAGTTGCTGCCCTGGGGGCCGCGGGTTCGAATCCCGCACGGAACAAGTATTTGTATAGCCTGCACATAATTTCTCCGGGTCTGGATGTTTGTCCTTATGCAATTTATGTTTCTAAACTGCCTCCACGATACAGGAGAAAATCCTAGTGTATAATAACATTTTTTTTTAAAATACTTGTGTTATACAAACAATTTTCGGCTTGGTAGGGCTCTATAAAGCGAAAAGTTTTTTCATTGGTCATTGTTACTGCCGTTATGTAGACACTTGTGTGCATATAAAATTTAAATCAGGTGCGTGCATTCACTCTGGGAGCTCGTAGCAAACTGAACGTGCGGCCAACGTGTGGATGCGGCGGCCAATACTCTGCCACAACCCTTTGATCTTTTGCAAAAAACCGACACCAGACGGATCTGGCGCCAACTTGTGGGCCATCGTTCCAATACGTACCAACGTAGCTTAAACACCCGCTCTACACGATGGCCATCGTTGTTGGCCAACACATTGGCCAGTGTGTTGGCCAACGTGAAGAGCCGCCGTGAGGCTCGCGCGTGGGGCGTGCTTGCGCGTACAAACCAACACGGGCGGCGCGGCGCGTGATAACACACGCAGTCAGAAGCCGCCTTAAAATGGAAAGAAGAAAGAAATAAAGATGTATTAATTTAATTAAAAATGAATTGTTGATTTATTTTAATAAGAATCTAAATTGCTCAGATTCTTACTTTTAAGGTAATAGATCATTTATGGTCAAAGCAAAGAGTAATAACAAATATTATATGGAAAAATACATAAATATTAAAAATAAATGTGTACTTTTTATTTCTTAAATTTCCCAGAAGTAGTAGGTATATAAAAATATGAAAATACCTACATGGTTCTTATTAAATCTTGTACAATGGTACAGAATAACAGAACCTTTCGTGCGCAAGTCCCACTCACTTTTAAACGACGCACTTGGCCGGTTTTCTTTATACTTTTGAGTTGACTAAGCTCAAACTAAGAGAGTAATGAATATCAGCAGTTCAAGGTAACAAGTAATAATAATAAGCATTTATTCATTACCACCAGTAAAGTTAAAATGAGTACATACAGAAATGACAAGAATTACATAATGTAGTAATGAATGGGCTGTAGCTCAGCATAAATGTTGCAGTTGCCTACAACGCTGTTATTCTGCCAGCGCCCAACATACGAACAGTACAGCACGCGCGCATCCCTGCTCATATTGCATTTAAACACAACTGTTCACATTAGGGTACATACATAGGGTATTAGCCAGTTCAAATTTGTAATCAAATATATATATATATATATTTATTACCATTATTTTTTTCACATTTTTTTAAAATAATTATTACAATAATATAACTAATAATAAGTAACATAAATTATAAAATAATATTGATTTTAACAAGCCTAACTTCTTTAATCTCATATAAGTTGTTTCCCCACCTACTATATAGGAATGTTTATTATTTATTTTAAGTATTTACAGGGCGGTCCTGCAATTACGTAAAAATAATCCGATTATGACAGTACTTGTTCTCTTAGTAAGTGACGTCTATAATTCTTTTTAAAGCTCGATTTACTTGTAATAGTGCGTTGTGGTGGTGAGAGATAATTCCAACGCTTGGTTGCCATAAACTTAAAACTGCCTCGGAAAGCCGATGTTTTGTATTTAGGGACGCAAAAAACTTTAGAGCATATTCGTATTTATAACTACAATGTTGATCGACAGAAGCCTAACGACAGAGGATGTGGACTGTGACAAAAGGTTGTGAGTTCGAATCCACAATTCCACTAGGTACTGTCGTGAACCACGCCTAACACAAGCATTTTAAGCTTTACCAGTAGAAATTAAAGGGAATATTAGTAATGTTAATAGCATTGCTAGTATTTTTTAAATGTTGGCTTTATCTCCTATATTTCCACACTTAGGGGTGACATTTTTCTATTTTTAACCAAATTCAAAAAGGAGGAGGTAGTCAATTTGACTATTTTTTTTTTGAGTTACTTTTTTTCTAGGTGAACCGGTTTTGATGATTATTTTTTTATTTGAAAGCTGATGCTTCTCATGTGCTTCAATATAAATTTGATCAAGGTCTGACCAGTAGTTTTTGAGTTATCCTTAATAATTTATATTTAAGTCGGTTGTATAAAATTTTTAATTTTACCATTTGTTGTGAATTAAAAACTATTTAATAAAACAAGAATAATTAAAATTGTAACTGAGATGAAGAAGTTTTATGGGCAGCTATGTGTATAAAATTTCTCGATATCACTCACAATATTAATTATAAAATACTAGCTGACCAGGCAGACGTTGTTCTGCCCTTTCCTGAAATGACCCTTTCTCCAGTAAAAAAAAAATCCTTAAATTCCTAATAAAAATGTTAAGGGTTACTTATCGGGATAAAAATTAAAAACTATCCTATCTCTCAAGTTGAACTACTGCACACAGTGTGCAAAATTTCATTGAAATCAGTTCAGTAGTTTAGGAGTTCAACGCGGACAAACAATGTGACACGTAATTTTTATATATAAAGATTTTAATTTTTAATATCATTATCAAGGCCACACATGACTATAGCAGGATAGAATTGAGGCATCTGCGTCACTTGCTCTCGCTTCGCTTAAGCTACGTGCCGCTGAAGGCCCCAATTCTCTCCAGTAGATGTCAACATTTTTAGTCTAACCAAATTAGTGCCTACATGTTCGCAAATTTCTATATTATATCAATTTATTTAACCAATGGTGATGATCGCAATGATCTAGTGGTTTGATTACTAAGCGTGATGGTTGCGGTTCACACGTTTGTTTGTATTATTGGAGGCCTATTCTATGTATAACTAGCGAACGCCAGTGGCTTCCCCCGCACGGTTTACAATTTTTCTACCCTCGGGAACAAGTGTACTTCCACTTCCAGTTGAGTTATTGAGCATTATATTCAGACCGTTTGTAAGATACTGCTGGTATTGCTGCATCTATACGATTAATTTCTAATGATAGGACTTGTTTTGACTAACTTCGTTATGGTCAGTGCTAATAAAACAATGTTTTTTTTTGGATAATTATACCTAGTATAGCACTAGCTTATTAGCAAAATCTATCATGGCAATATAACACCTCTACAATTTCTTCTATTTATGGTCAGGTATTCCAACATGTGTAGGAATCAAATTAAAAAGTTTGCAAAGCTGAGCTTATGCCATTGTCTTATTCTCATAGCGAGTTCACATTGATTACAACGTTCGTCACAAATATCTATCTATATTGGTTAGTTTAATCATTTTTACTATTCAGAAATTCAGTCGTGATTAACTTTTATTTGTTTTCCTTTTTTACTTCATACTTGTTTTGTTTATTGCCGATCATGGCCAACACTGAGGATAACATTGATTCCAATCCTATCGCTAATCCGTTTTACTAAGCTCAGGGTGTGGATAAATTTATACTAAATTATTACAACCAAGAGGAGCGGCTTCATGATTCTATTCCACCAAATAGAATAGCTATAAATAAAGAGCAGCAATCGAAATCAAAGAAATATTCCAGGAAGAGAAGCCGTTCTCAAGAACCATCACACATTATCCCCCAAGATAAAGATAAACTTCGTATAATAAAGAAAACTTATCTTCTGAAAACCTGACATTTAGTTCCTTATAAGGATAATATGATGAATTTAAAAAGACTTACATCACGAACGTGACAATGGTCAAACTCTGCCATTGATAATACAGCATTATATTTGCGGCTGCTTTGTTTGTAATAATCACAAATATCTTGAAGCTCGTAAGACCCTTCAGGAATTTCAATCATTTCTTTTTCACCATAATAAAATTAATTGTTTCTTTCATCTATATTGGGAATAGAATTAAAAGTTGAAAAATGCAAAACACCACATTCGTAGTCTCCTTGTAGTTCCAATGTCGGTGAATAGTTCGTTGATAAAGAGGCTCCAGTCC